ATCGAAACAAAAGAACAAGTAGCCCTCCATCAAAAAATTAATCCCAATGCTCTTGGGGTTCCCGAGAATCGAGAATCACTGTACTAAGGGGGATTTGTCTGCCTTCAAGTCATCTTCTAAACCCTTGCAAAGAACCGAGAGGAGCATCCACAAGCATTCGAAGGATTCAGATACTAAAAAAGAGCAAGAGAGAATGGTTGCTTATCTTTTGTGCATGGAGGAAAGGAGCATCATCGGGGAGTTAAAACACCCTGAGAAGACACATGTATCACCGTAAAAAAGGTAAAAACCTGAGGGCTCTCGGTTCGGATCTATGCCGTGGGGTTGGTCCTTTAGATAATCGGTCGACGGGGTTAGGTTCGGGATATAAAAAGCTTTTGAATGGCGGATTTTGGGAAAGGGGAGATAATTCGAAAGAGAATTTAAGAGTTGGGGGAGAGAAGGTTTTGAGAAGGTGTCACAAATGAAAGGGGGAAAAGGATTTGCAGGGATTTATATATGAGGGACCTATGGGTAATTACAAGAAACTTAAATCTTGTTTGCAGTCCCTGAACGTTCGAAGTTTAATTCATTTTGATATCCTATTTCAATTGGACTTCCAAATTTTAATTTGATTCAATTTAGTTCTTTTCCTTATTTATAAATTGGTACCCTGATTTGTCTTTTCTGTTTTACAACATTTTGTTTTTCTGTTATTTATTTATTTATTTTATTATTATTTTTCTTTCTTTAACATTTTTAGAGGATTCAATTAAATCTCTAAAGATCACTAAATGTAATAAATTCATATTGATTTTAAATTTCAATTTTTATTTAAGTTTCAATTTTCACGATTGAGACAATTGGCTAATCGAATGGTACCGAGAGGTTGATTTTTGAGGGAGCTAACCTTCCTCGATTGTAAACGACTCTAAATTCGAATTTTTTTATAAAGACATAGATTCGGTAAAATAGTAAGTTTGAGGTGTTGATCCACCATTTTAGAAGCTATCGGTGGCGACTCCACAAATTCAAGTCGAAGCGTGAACCCGAGACCATCTGAAGGACCGTTGCGACAGTATCCATCATTTGAAGAAGAAGAAGAGAAAGAGAATAAGAACATTGGTCAAAACTTTTGAGAGTTAAACATGTGGTAAAACAATGTCAGATCATTAATTTAACGCGCCAAATCAGTTTTTCGTCACCATGTTAACAGTAGTTAATGTCAGGTGATCGATTTGTTATGAATCAATAACGTTAATGATCAATTTGTCACTTTTGAAACTTCAGTGGTGAAAATAGAAATTTATTCAAATATTAATGATCATTTGTGTAGTTTACCCTAAATTTTTTAGATTGGAGAAGAGTAAGGACGAAAATAGTGCATGAAGATTATAGAGGGTAGAAAGAAAGAGAAAATGGATTAAATTGATAGAATATTGAAATATTAAGGTTAATTTTTAAGAATTATGATCAAGTTAAAATCAAATGAAAAAGTTGAGGGTTCAATTTTTATTATGTTTTTGGCTAAATTTTTAATAAAAACTATATTTTTTAAATTAGGTGATTATTTTGTAATTTTTTATAGCCGGAGTGCTCAACAAAAAACATCATATAATTAGAGTAATATTTACATATTTTACCCTATTTAGGGGCATTGATTTTGAAAAATAACTTTTAAAAGTATTATAGAAACGGACTTTTAAAAGTACTATTCAAAAGTGCAATTTAAAATTTAATTGTTTGGAACTACTGTTAAAAAGTGAGTTTGGAAATATAAAATGTTCATTATAGACATTATGTTTTAAATTAAAAGTATAACACTTAAACTGTATTTGCACTTGTATATAAATTATATCAAATTAAACTATAATAAATTTACCAACGAGTGTTGCCAAAAGTGGTTGAGATTCATGAATTTGAACTTGTAAGACCAAGTTCGAATCCCACCACCGTCACTCTTAGTGGGTAATATGTAAAGTCCTATGTAAATCCCAATTGAGTCTTAGGTATGCCTTGACCCTAGATTGGAGGAGCCACCCCTGACCTAAACTTTTGTTTGTACAAAAAAACTATAATAAATTCAAAAAATATTATTATATATGAATTATATCAATTTAAACTATAATAAAAATATAATTATAATAAAAATATATTTTATATAACTCACTATTAATATTTTAATATATAAATATGAATTTTATTTATTTTTTAAGTAATTAAAATAAATTATTAAAATTAATAAATTATTTTTAAAAGTGTTTTTATTACATTATTAAAATAAAATATAAATACATAATTAAGTAGAGCCAGGAGTGGAACCAGAAATTTTAAATTATGGTGTCATAATTTAAAATTAAAACGTATAAATAAACCTATAGAATTGTAAGCATAATATTAACACTCAATAAATTAAATTAATACATAATATGGCTAAAATAAAGGTGTAAATGAACATAACATTTGATGAATTATTCACGTTCGTATAACATTCATTAATGTTTGTTTATTAAATAAAATGATTATGTTCATTTAATAAACGAATAAACACAAAAAATTGTATTTGGTTCGTTTGTGTTTACAAACAAATTTATTTATTATCTCTTTGTAAGTTCGTTTATTGACCCATTCTTTATTAATGATATTTTGTTATAAAAATATTATTTTAATATTATTTTATTTGTATTTCAATTCAATAATTTAGATGTACATATTTATATCAGTATAAGTGTGAGTTTATTTCTAGACATCAGATTTACATCGATATCTGTATATAAATCTACCACTATCATGACATCTAGAAATAAATATACACAATATGTGTATGCAAATCTTCCACTATTCCTTTTTGAACTTATTTTGCTCACCAATCTATTCAACTTTTAAATTACATTGTTACTAAAAAATTAAAATTTTATCATATGATTAACTCTGTGAAATGATTTTGCATTTTAAGTTGTAGTACTTCTATGATTTTATTTACTTTAATAAATATTTTTATGCAAAATTGGTGAATATATTATTAATTAGAATATAATAATAATTTTTTAGAAAAAATATATGTCATTGAAATAAAATTTTAGAATTATTATTATTAAATATTTTATAAAATATTTTTAAAAAGAATAAAAATATTTTTTAAGAGGTCAAGGTTTTTTAATAGTGGTGTTATTTTTATTATTTATATATATTTTTTATATTTTTTCATATAGAAAAAATATTTTTTATAAAATTTTGGGTGTCATTTAACACCCCTCATTATATGGTGGCTTCACCCATTAGTGGAGTGTATACAACAAGGATAAAAATATAAATTTGTTTCTAAATACAAAGTTGGAATGAAAAGTTAGAATTATAATTTTTGTTGTTGGTTTGAAACCACCCTATTTTTTTCAACTTTTATCTTTTTGGAATTAATTTTTTGATTTAGACGAGTTTTCTGTAACTAAAAATGCTTTTAGACAACATTAGCATACGAACTTTAGCATAAATATAAATTTAGCTAAAATTTATTATAATATAACGCTAATATATATTTAATTTATTTATAATTTATTATACAGTTGTTAATATAACATTTCTATTAGTTATTACCATTAGAACTACGCTTGAATCTAAATACATCCCATTTTTTTTTAATTCTATCGACATACTATTCAGTTTTATTATTATAATAATTAATTTCATTATGTTAGCTCATTGGTCACTAGATTCGCGGATCGGGGCATGTCCCATTTGATGTTTGAATGTGAAATCTTAAGTTCAATAAAATTAAATTGATGATTTGTATTAAAAAATTATTATCATTATTATTTTAAGCTCGCTATAATTAACATTATTATAATAATTAATCTCATTCTCATTATTTAATAGAAGAAATATCTTACCATGCAATGAAGCTTCTTTTTTTGGCAAATTCCATAATGACATTCCTAGCCAACCTCATCCAAAGCGTGTGCATTCCGCCAAACTCAAAGCCAACACCCCCGATCAAAAATAATAATAATCGAAAATCGATTCAAAAAATCGATAATCGAAAAAAATTGAAACTGATTTAGTGTATTTTTTTTAAACCGTTCGGTTCAGTTTCGGTTTAGAAATCTAGAACCAATCCAAACCGAACCGAATCGATGAAATGGAATATTGTATTTACAAGCTTGAAGCAAACAAATCAATAGCCCCCACAAAATCTCACAAAACCCATATACAGATACAAATTCAATTTTCCTCGACACGCACGTAACAATTTTGCTCCAGATTCTAGTCATCGATGCCAATGAAAAAAAATGGTGCAATAAATGATAATAGCAAAAAAAATGATAATATAGTCTATTAGTATTTCCTTAGTTATGAGGTAGAGAGAAAATTGTCGGACAAAATTTAAAAAATATGTCGTTTTATTTTTATGGGTGACTTACTGACGAAAAATTGATTCGTTTTTTAATTTGTTAAAATATATATTCTATTTGTAAGCTTTACAACCTTACATTTGTTAAAATATATATTCTCTTTGTTTTTGTTATACATATGCTGTTTTTTATGAAAAAAATTCAATAATTATTTTGAAAAATTAGAATCTAAAAACCGCACAAATTCAAATCGAATCAAGTCGCAATTAATTGGATCGGATTTGATCAAATTTTTTTAGAAACATCCAAACTGTAAATATTTATACTTTCGAATTAAATAAATTTTTAGCCAAAAACCGATACAAACTGACCGAAACACCCCTGCCCTATACTTTCAAACATCCCTCAACGGCTCGAGCGTGTCATCCAAAAGCCCTTCCAAGCGCTTGACATTTTGTTCCGCAACTGCATGAAAACTACATATTCCATGGCAAACTTTTGGACTCTCAGACTATTTGCACCCCCTTTAATTTTTCCCGTTATCATCACTCGTCTCTTTTTGACTCACTTTCACCATGTTTGATTGTTCCTCTTTTCTTCCCTCCATTATTATTTCTGTTAAACTTGATTATGACTTAGCTATGATGGGTTGTCGGTGGATGCAGAAGCATCCTATGCTTAAAAGAACTTTCCTTTTAACACTCAACAGACTTCTCTTATCCCCCCCCCCAAAACACCTGATTTCTGGGTTTGATTTGTTTTGTAATTTAAGCTACAATAATTGCTCTTTCACTTCAATCTCAGTTCCTTTATTTTTCATTATTCTCATTCAATGTCCATGCTGTAAATGGTGGATGACCATTATTAAGCTATAGCCTGTACATTGATGAACACTTGATTCTCTGCATCGGCATCATCGGTGGGAGGTATTAAACTTTTAAATCACTCTTTCTTTTTTCATGTATTTTTATAATCTTTCTGTCCCTTTCTTGAAATCTAGTGCTTTTAGTAGGATTTGTTTATGATTTTCTAGTAAAACTCTGCAGGTTGAGATGGTAAATATGGCTGCATTAAGTAGTATTTGTAGATAAAAGTTGAATCAGTTATTCATTTAATAGCGAGAAAAGCACTTAATTATTAGTGGACAAAGAATGTTTGTGGACTTCATAATACTGTAGAGATGCAACTTTTAGTGCTTACAGTTTACGTATGTATGTTATTCAGACTCGAGTATAAGTGTTGAATATGATAGGTGTTTCCTTCAATACATTCAAACTTTATAATACTTTTTCATGTATTTGGAACGTTGTTAGAAGGTCGTCGGATCAACGTTTCAACACAGTTTACAGTTGATTCCTCTGCATCTACCTGTGTTTTGGACTGTTGTTCGAGGAAATCGAAATTGTCTTACATTTCTCCCACTTTATCTTATATCAACATTATAAATCTGGTTTCTTCTTTTGTTCCTGCAATAGAAATCGAAGTCATGGACCAAAAATCATGGCGTTGGAGGAAAAAATCTTCTTTGAAGCGAATTGATGAAGAGGTGACCAAAAAATCTTTTTTTTTCATGTTCATGATATCTCAAAGATTGTTTATTGTCATTATTCTCGTGAATCGCGATCTTAAGCCTCTATATATGATCATTATAGGTACAAATGCATGAAGGTGAACGAGATCGAATAGTGAAAAATCTAAATGAGAAGCTTGCTTCAGTCCTCCTGGACTGTCATGCCAAGGATGATGATCATGTGATAAAGAATGACAAAAGGGTACCAGAATCCAATGCAGGTGATTTATTTTTATAAATTTTGACATTTAACTCTTTTTTTTCTAGATTTTGATGTGTTTGTGTTGATGTTTTCTCTTAGATTTTGAAGAGTTAACTCACTCGGATGCTGCAATGAAGACATCGACTGAGTTCGAGAGAGCAACAAAAGCATTACAAGACAATCTGACACAGACGAACAAAAGGCTCAAAGAGTTAGAATTTGAGAACTCTGGTCTGAGTAAGACCCTGCTGGTGAAAGAGAGATTGATTGAAGATCAGTGGAAGCACAAGTCTCTGGCTGATGCCGAATTCGGTGCACTAATGGCTAGATTAGATGACATCGAAAAGGAGAACGCGTTGCTGAAATACGAACTTCATGTTGTCGAGAAGGAGCTTGAGATAAGAAATGAAGAGATGGAATACAACCGTCGATCAGCTGATCTGGCTCGTAAACAACATTTGGACGGTGCAAAGAGGATGGCCATGTTGGAAGCTGAATGCAGGAAACTACTTAAGGCAGAAGAAGAGAACAGGGTTCTCAAAGCAATAATGATCCATTCATCGAGATTAGATCATTCTCGGATATCGTCCACACCGAACCGAGTTGAGATTCCGACCATGGAGATTGTGAGGAGTGGTCAAATATCAAGGGAACTATCTGTCACTTCAGGTTTTGATATTGGAAGTATTGATGGTAATAGCTCTTATTGTTCATGGCCTAATGCTTTGGGTTCGGAATCTGAACTATCTATAGAGAGAAGAGTTAAGAATCCAAATCTGATTACGGTTCCAGAAATGAGATTCATGGATGATTTTGAAGAGATGGAAAAGTTAGCCTTGGTTGCAGGAAGTGGATACAATCCGATATCGGGCGGTGTGGATCATTGCGAATTCAGCAACACAAAACAGATGAACTCAATAGATTTAGTTGCTGAAGGATCATTTGATTGGCTTCAGGTTGTTTTGCATGCTATCTCCAAGCACAAACGTGTTTCCAATCGTGGTTTTGATGAAATTCTCGATGACATTGAAATTGCTTTGGATTGTAGCAATCGTCTAAGTGTTCATGATGTTATTGATATTTCTGAAGGACAATCACACAACTTTGCTTCTTCACATGACCACAGTCAGAGTGCTATGTCCCGAGTGGACGATATTCGATGTAGCCTGCAGGAGGAAAACAGGAGATTACAAGATGATTTGAATAGTATGGAAGCCATGCTTGAGTCAGAAACTCGCAAGAATGAGGCCTTGACAATAAAACTTCATGAATCAGAAGAAAGCATCGGAATCTTACTTACAGAACTTAAGATGTTAAAAGAATCGAACGAAATGATAGAAGACGAGGTTGAAAATCAGACCCAACTCACAGTTGCCAAAGCTAAACTGAATGAAATCTTCCAGAAATGTTCATCTCTGGAAGTTGAGTTGGAGTACAAAAATAACTGTTGTGAAGAGCTAGAAGCCACATGCCTTGAGCTTCAACTCCAATTAGAGAGGTAAAGCTTTAACTTCTTAATTTTACTTCCAGTGATTACTAAAGAAACATGTCCTTATAGTTCTGATTTCCGAAACGTGAATCACACAGTTTGGCGAAGAAAGAAACACCGACTTACTTCGTGAATCAAGAGGGAAAGCAATCTCAAAATGTAAGTCATTCATTCACAAGGTTTCCTATTTTCAAACATTGTTCTACATGCAGGAATTACCATGTTACACGGAAAACAGGTATCAAATACTGATGTTATGTCTGGGTTTTTTTTCGACATACAGAGTTGGGAAATTACAGCAGCATCAGTCAAATTAGCGGAGTGCCAAGAAACAATTATGAACATAGGTAAGCAATTAAAGGTGTTGGCGTCGTCGCAAGATGCAGCACTCTTTGACAGGGTATTCTCTAACAATGGTGATGCTGCTGCCCCCACTGCAATAAATGATAGAAAGGTGAAGAAACGATTCTCCTTGCGCGATCGAATGCTAGCAGACGATGGGGATAAAGGAAAAGGGTCCAAGTGTCCCAGTATCCAAGGAACTTTATGCGTCGATGAAGCAGCAAGTTCGTTGCTTCCTCAATCCAATAACTTCAAGAACACGCAAGCTTCAGATTTGCTGTTAAAGACCTCAGAAGCAGATCTTGGTTCCAAAAATGAAAGTGGAAACGTGGGAGCTATGGCTTTGGCAAGAGTGCCGAGCAAGAAGCAAGGAGTTGGTTTTCTAAGGAGGCTATTCTTGAGAAGGAAGAAAGGTTACAGTAAGAAAACTTGTCAAGGAGCGACTGAAGGGTGACCGTAAGATGGCAAAGAAGCCTGCATAAAATTCAGTGGTGATAGAGAGGGAACTGAAGGCAATTCTACCAGTAGTTTTCAACATTTCACAGTGTGGAGATTGGTTTCTTGTTTTATTTTTTCCACCTTAATTACTCAAGCATGGTGAGGTGAGATCTCGTAGTCTAGTAATACTTATGCGAACTCGAGCAGAGAGACATGTGGCATCCTAATATGGCTTATGTATATTTCTGGATAGGAGATCCTTTGAAAAATCAGAATAACTGCAGTTTGAGTTAGTGGCTTTGACCGGATAGTTGTCGCTTGTGCGATTCGACTGTAAATTTTCTCGACCAGGATTCCCATTTCTGGATTTTACGAGATAATATGCATGCACACTAAAAATTTACCCACATTAAATCGGAATGAAGGATAACAAACTGCTAACCATAATTGAAAGGCAAAGCTATCTACATACAGGTGTTTTTTTCCCCTTGTATCTAAGGTTAAAATCTTGTATAACATTAGTGTTAACACAATGTCATCTGTACAGGTGCATGTTTGAAAAAAAAAAGTGAATTACTTTGATAAATTTAATATTTATATTGAATTTAGAATTCTTTTAAATATTACAAATTAATTGATATTATTTAATTTAAATATTAGTATGACAATTACTCTTTAAATATGTCAATTTAAAAAGTATTTATTATCTTTTTAACTTTGAATATTAAAGATAATTGTATACTTTTGAATATTCAAATTAAAATAATATTAGTTTAAGTTTGAATAATAAAATGAGTGTATATCCATTTAATATTTTTAAATTTAAAATATTTTATTATCTGTTTAAATTTATATATTAAAATATATTTATTTAGAGTAAAACTTTGTTGAAAATCCCTATAAATATTGAGCAAACATGTTAGGTTTTCAACATTTCAGAATTCAAGAACTTTTCGTCTCTAGAAAAATATTTTCTCTCATTCTTGGAAAATTTGTCTTAATGAAATTATGTAGCTATATGCCTTAATTGATTACGATCATAAGATCAAAAATCTTTCTAACCTGCTGACTTATTTCAAACTAACCACCTAACATTTTACTTTCTTGCAATTTAATTTTTATACTCCTTTAATTTAAGCACTTAAATTTATGCATTTATATTTCAGTCTTTTTTCATTCTATCCCATTTAAGTTTTCGACATTTAAATTCATGTTCTTTGATTTCTTGCAATTTATGTTCCAACACTTTCATTTACATTTATTTAATTTAAGCACTTTATTTTTCATTTTATTTTAATTTTTGCCTTCACTATACACAATCTGGTCGTTTTAGCCTCTTATGAAAGTTATAGATATTTATTTATTTCCTTTCTATGTAAGCATCTATTCTCTTATTAATTTGGTCAAAATTACTAAATTGATTTCTTACCATTTTACCTTTTATTTATTCATTTTCCCCCCTTACCTTCAAATTCTATCTCTTTAATTTCCTTTTTTATTTTAATTTTCATGCTATTATTCTCTAATTAGCCCTTTAAATTTACTTTCTATATATTTTAAGATATTGTAATATTTGCATTAATTCAATTGATTATAAAGTTGTTTGTTAGATGTAAATTTCTTTCGGTATATATTTATATATTTATTTATTTCTAGTTGTCTCTTTACATATTTGTTTAGTATTAGTATAAGTCATATACATTTTAATCATACTTTCAAAATTTGGTATGTGCACTATAAGTACATTCGTAAATATATATGTATATATTTGATTAAGCTAATATGATTACAAAGTAATATATGTTCTAAATATTCTCAACCATTTGACAAAGAACACTCAATCACCCTGCTGCATTTGTTGGTGTTCGAATCTATGACCTCTAACAATAACATAGATTTTTTTATCACCGATGTAAGTTGGTTCGTGCATATATATATATATATATACACACACAAACATGTGTTATTTCTCATTCTAAACTTTATAATATGATATTTAAATGTGTAGATATGTGTATTTATTGAAACACTAGGTATCGTTACCTTTTCTAAACTTAGTAAATTTACTTATTATTTTTTAATGTGAGTGCAAGAATGAACAATTTCTTTTGTCTTAGACGTTAAACAAATTAAATTCTTTCAGTTTTATTTTTTCACATAAAATACCAATTATTATTTTCTATAAAAAGGAGCATTCGAAGAGGATTCAATTTGTCTTAGATTTTATGGAAACCAAAATTTTGAATTTACTTCACATTCGCTAAAAATCATTTATTATTAATATCTTACTTAATAAAATTAAAATTTTCAAAAGGGGGCTTTCCTTGTTCTAGATATTGAATGGGTTAGAGCTTTTAATTTTATTTTAGTTCATACCTCCCACTTTGTTTTATTTTAGGTATTAGAGACGTATTTAGAGATTTAGCACTTGATATTAGGATTAGAGAACATTAGTATTTTTTAGAATCTAGAATAGTTGGTTTTAGAATATAGAAAGGTTAGTGAACCCTTTTTGTGTTTATATTCTTCACATCTAGACTAAAGAAGCATGCAATACATTTTCAATACTCTTGTCACATTATTTTAAATGAGGTATGTTCTCAAATTAATTAGACATTTGATATCTTTCTAGACGTTGGAGGATTTCGAAGTTATTTAACGAGAGAACACATCTTTGATTTTTTTTTATAAAAACAATATCATAAGACTTTTCGAAATTTGAAGAATATAATTTTCTCAGACATTTGAAAATTTTGAGGTGTTTTAAAGAGTTGAAAGTTTTGAGTTTTTTGCATGATTAAATTTCAATATTCTTCTAGACGTTGGAGAATGCTCAAAATCACCTATTAAAGATTTCGCCATCAAAATTTTATATAGATTAATTTGTGAATTTTTAGGGTTTTTGAGCATAATCTTGATTCTCTTAGCAGTTAGAGAATTTGATGCTATTATTGAGAATTTAAAAATTCGTTATTAATCTAAAAATATATTAATTGCATGCATGAGTCGAGATAAAATATTCATGGTCAGGTAAGAGTCATTTTTATGAGTTTTTTGAGGGTGTTAACCCTTTCTCACACGTAATCATACCCCTGAACCCAATTTTGGTTTTCATAAGCCTAAACAATTTTTTGGTGATCCAAACACACCTTAAATATATTGATCGGGACTCCTAACATTTTATTAAAGTATGAAACCTAAATTTTTATTCACCGGGTAAAAAATGGTGCGTACATGTCCAATAACAAAATCTAAAATAAACGAGTTGGAATTATTTCTAATTTTGGTTCCGTTTCTTTTGCAGAAAATGGAGACATGAAACTCCATTGGTTTATCCAACATGGATGCTAAAATGGTGGTATTAGTTCAGAATCCAAATCTAAATGTGAGTAAATCGACAGTGGCATTTAACCACAAAGAGAAGTCAGCACAATTCTACAGAGAGAATTTCAAGATGTGGTAAAACAAGATTATTTTTATTTGACCACATTGAACCTTTCAATGTTCTTAAAGGAAGGTCCTCATATTCTTAAAGAATGAGAAGAAAGGGTAGACAATGTTACTACTTTCAACATTGTTGAAGATTGGAAGAACTCAAATTATATATTTCAGAATGAAATTATGAACTGTCTACAAGATTTATTATATTTGATATATGCTGGTCATGAAACAATAAAGAAATTATGGGAGGCGGTGAACCACAAATACAAAGCTATAAATGATGGAGCTAAAAAGTTTTTAGTTGCCAAATTCTTAAGTTTTACTATGGTTTACTCTAAACTAGTAGTAAAATAAGTGGAGGAATTCCAACTACTGATCAATGAAATTCTTGTCGAAAGAATGGTCATAGATGAATCCTTTCAGTTAGCCGTCATTATTGAAAAATTATCTCATGGATTCAGTGTTTTCAAGAATTATCTAAAGAGTAAAAGGAAGGAAATGACCGTGGAATAATTGGTTTTTAGACTTCAAATGGAAGAAGACAACATGATTAATGCCAAAAAGCTCAACAAAGTAGAGGCTAATGCAAACATGATAGAGTTCAATGACTTCAAGAAGGGAAAATAACCCAAAAGAGGTCAAAGTTGGGACCCAAAGGTTGAATTTCCAAGAAGGAGAAATTCTAAGGGAAGTGTTTTAATTGTCGTAAGATAGGGGACAAATCCTCTGAGTGCAAACATCCAAAGAAAGTTAAACCTCACGAGGCTAATGTTGTGGAAAGAATAGCTAAATATGTGGAGGATATAGATCTATATGATGTGATCTCTGAAGTCAACCTGGTTAACTCTGTTCTAAGAGAATTGTGGCTCGATACTGGAGCTACGTGTCATATCCGTTGCGAAAAGGACTCATTTTCTGAATTGACAGATTGCAACAATGGGAAGAAGCACTACATGGGCAATGTTACGACTTCCAAATCAAGGGGAAGAGTATTATAGTCATGAAGATGACTTTTAACAAAGAACTCAAGCTGGAGAATGTGTTGTATCTACCTGACATATGGAAAAACCTTGTTTCTGGAACACTCCTAAGTGTTCACGACTTTAGAATGGTTTTTGAATCCCAAAAGTTGATTTTTTCTAAAGGGGGAATGTTTGTGGGTAGAGGATATACATTGAAAGATATGTGGAAACTCAATGTTATCTCTATAAAGCCAAAAATATAAATAAGAAAAATGTTTATTCTTCCATTTATAAGCTTAAGTCATTTAATTTATGGCACAATAGACTTGTACATGTTAATTATGATGCTCTATAAAGATTAATTAACTTAGAACACATTCTTTCGTTTCTTATTAATTATAATCATAAATGTGAAACCTATGTTGAGGCAAAATTAACGAGGTTGTCTTTTCAAGCTGATGAAAGAAATACTGAATCATTCAATTCAATTCAAACTGGTGAAAGAATAAATATTTTATTACCTTCATTTACGATAGCATAAAGTATTACTATATACATTTGCTTAAGAGCAAAGATGAAGCTATAGAGAAATTTATACTCTATAAGTAGGAAGTCGAAAACAACTTGATAAAAAGATTAAGATGGTAAAAAGTGATGTTGGTGGTGAATATGTTGAACCATTTAGTGAATTTTTCTCATAACATGATATTATTCATGAAGTAACACTACCATATTCTCCTCAATCAATTGAGTAGCTGATTAGAAAAATCAGACTCTAAAAGAAATGATGAATGTCTTGTTAGGTAGTTTTGGGTTATCACAGAACATATGGGGGGAAGATGTCATTTCAGCTAATTACCTTTTAAATAAGGTACCCCAAAAGGAAAAAGACAAGAAATCATATGAATTATGGAAATGTCAAAAATCTTCCTACAAACATTTAAAAGTGTAGGGATTTCTTGGCAAGGTAATGGTCCCATTATCAAAGCAAATGAAAATATGTCCTAAAAGTGTGGATTGTATTTTTATAGGCTTTGCAGAACTTATCAATGCATAACGATTTCTTGTGTATGAATCAAAAAATTCTAAGATTCACAAGAACAAGATAATGGAATTAAAGAATGCATTATTCTTTGAAAATATTTTCCCTTATAAATCTAAGGAGGTTGATCAAAGTTCAATAAAACAGACTTTAGATGAGAATAGTCTACATGATCAACAAGAGGCTAAAATTGAAATAGAACCAAGAAAGAGTACACGAGCAAGGGTTGAAAAATCCTTTGGACCAGACTTCCTAACCTTTATGTTGGAGGATGAATCTCAAATATATAGTGAAGCTATACGATCTACTGAAGGAACCTTAGGGAAGGAAGCCATTAAAAGCGAAATAGATTCCATCATGCAGAACCATACGTGAGAATTAGTCAATATTCCTCTGGGGATTAAACCACTAAATTCCAAATGGATTTTCAATTGGAAAATGAAAGCAGATAGAACAATTTATAAGTATAAGGTCATATTGATAATAAAAGGATATCGATTATCGCAACTAGTTTCAACGTTTGGGTTTTTCTTTTGAAATGATTTTGAAATGAAATATTGGGATTCACCACTAATCATTTTTAAGGTGCGATTAGAACACCTAAAATCAAGTAAATTTAATAAAACATTTTATTTTATCAAAAATATAAAATTTTGGTATGTAAAAACCAAAAATCAGGTTCAAAGTCGGTTACGCGTGGGGAAGGATTAACACCCTACATCACCCAAAAATTGGTACCTAGTCAATTACTCTATGTTTAAAAATTATAAATTTTGAGTTTGAGGTTTTATTTAATTTAAAAATCATTATGGACGCCAAGTTTGGAAAAAGATGTTGGTTTAAGAAATCATGATATGAGTTTTGAAAAGGATGTTGATTTACTTCGGGAATTACCAGTGGTCACCCCCTGAGCATAGTGCGGAGGATACACTATTAATTCCTTGATAAATGAACATTGCCTTATTATTTTAAAATCAAGATGCAATCAAAAACCATTTAAAAAACCTAATTATGCTAGGTGAGTTAATTAAGGAAAACCCTAACATAAAGTGTCAAATTATAAAATTTTAAAAACCTAGTACTAGGCTAAAAGACGAAGGCTCTAATATTAATCCTAATTTATTTTAGCCAATTATTGAGTTGAATAATCGAAATGGTCCATCGGGCATGTTAATACGAGGGCCAAATCAAAGTATTCCCTAAATTGAAGGACTAAAGTGAAATTTAATTAAGATGGAGGCTCTAATTACCAATCCTAGTTAATTATATCAAATGAATACCTAAAAAGTTCAATGACTAAATTGTGTAGAGTTTAAGATTAAAGCTCTAATTAATAACCCTAATTAATTATGTTAAATGAATATCTAATTAAAAGTTCAAGGACTAAATTATGTTGATATAAAATGAAAGAAAACATGATAGAGAAAGAATAAAATGTCCTAAGTTGGTTTGGAAGGAAACTAAATCAAGGGAAAGAAATAAAGTAAAGGGAGACAAATAGTAAAAAGTCAAACAAAACTAAGGGAAATAAAAAATATAAAAAAATACTAATTTACGTGGACAAGAACAAATTTAGAAAATATTGACATAATTAATTAATAAATAAGATTAACTAGAGTATAAAAGGCATATATATCATAAAATATATACATAGGATGCTGAAATGTATTTAATATATATATATATATATATACACGTTTAATACGATATTTTCATACCCTAATTTTGTCCAAGAAATTTGGCATAAAGTATGAGGCAATTGTTTTCGAGGTCATTGGGGTTCGTGTGGGCTTCAATCAAATTTCGAAGGAGTTCTTTTTCGTCATTCGAATAAAATGGAGATCGAACCAAGTACAATAATTTTGCATCAAATGAAACACAAATTGAATGGTCCTACAGAATCTCAATACACCCATTTTTGTCCGGCCTACAAAATCATTTTATTATTTATTTATTTATTATTATTATTATTATTATTTTTTTTTTATTTTTTATAAGCTCCATTTATTACCCCACCATTACCTTATCCACTCAACGACTAAACACCCACTAAACACCTAACTACCAACCTTACTCACCAACTTGCACGTCTCTCTCTAAATGAAAGTGGGAGTGCTGCCTATTTATTCAAATCAGCTTTTGACTTTTAAGGGGAAGAAAGGGAGATTGGGGGGCCACCATTTTTGGCTTTATTAATGGATGCATATCTCTGTTTCTTTTTCCATTTTGGAGGAACGAAGATTAGTGCTAAACTCAGTTGCCTGTTGGATCCTGTCTAGCTAGCAATCGAATGACTTTTCCCCCAGCAAATTTCATGCTCCAAACTCCTCATGAAGAAGATCATCATCACCCCCAAAGTTCCACCAATCAAATGCTTTCATCATGCACACACCAAGACTTTCATGGCATTGCATCATTTCTGGGGAAGAGATCGATATCGTTTTCTGGTATTTATGCAGACGAAGAAGCAAACGGGGAGCGAGAGTCGTTAGCAATGCAAGACATACAGTCGATCGTAGGCAGCAGCAGCGAAGGTGAAGGAGCTCAGAAGCAAACAACGAACCAACCTCCCTTCCAGTTTCTCCTTCCTTCAATTCACACTTTGCCTCTCCAAAGGGGTCGGTGAGGAATCTGTCTAGAAAACGTGAAAACGGAGCAGCCCATAGCAGCCATGGTCACCGCCGCTTTAGACAGGGAGAGACTTTCCAGATTTTACAAATCCTTTCCTTTCTTATACTATGCTTAATACTTTTATTAAAACAATATTCAGGGCAGATTCTTATGGTCGATTCTCCTGCCAGTAGCTAGTCTCTTATTTTTGGGTCTTCTCCAACAATTACTTATTTTCTACTGGAAAATTTTTCTCTTTTTCTCGGGAGACGTGGGATTGAAAAGCTGGGAGTTTTGGTGATTGAGCTCTGCTAGCCTCTCGTATCACTCTTCAGCATGAACAACCAATATGGTGATGATCAAGATGAAGAAAAAGTCTTTGGGTTTGAAGTTCCAAGATCACCTGATTCAAGTTACAATAATGCATACCCTGGGAGTGAAGATGACGCACGTGACCCACCAGTTGTCCCTCCACACCTGCATCGTTCGTTGCTTAGCTACCCCTTAAGTCTGAATGCTTCTGGGAGTACGCCTTTGCCAGAAAATGTGATTCTAAATCATATTTACATTGAGAATCGAGAGGCACCTAGATCTGTAGTGGCACTTGGGTTTACTCATCGTTTTCGTTCAAATTCTATAATGGATACTCGTAAAAGAGGAAGTCGTAAAGCTGGGTTCAACGTTAATGGCGGAATTAAGAATTCTAGACCCGCGCTGCTGGTTGCTAATTTGGTGAGAGCTGCCATTTCCAACAATATGTTCCTGGAGGTTACAATGCAGTGGCCCAGATGATGAACCTTGCATCAGTTATTCCACCAGCTTCGAGAAACCTGGCATCAACAGCTGCCACACCACAGGGCTCTGCCTCGGCAGTCAAGTCTCGCACGTGCAACAACTTTAGTAGCCCCGAATGTTGTAAGTATGGTGAGAAATGCCACTCTCCATCACTTCATCGCTCAAGCTTCCCTGACTGCCTCTCAACTACAACCTGACATCAGCGTCAGTGGACTTTTTGCAACATACATCAGATGAAGGCTCTGCCCAGGGGATCGATTTCGACTGCCTACTCAAATCCTGCAACCGAGTGCGCGTTGCTAAGCACTTGCATGCCCTTGTTGATGTTTCGGGGAAAGCTCAAAGTGTCTTTTTCTCTGGCAAGCTTGTTGATGTCTCATTCGCGCGTCGCACATTCGATCACTTTTGCTCCTGTACTTAAAGCTTGTTCAGAGCTTTCAGCTATGCTCGTAAATTGTTCGATGATATGCTGATATGAAAAAATGGACATAAGTTTGTCTTTAATGGCCGTATCCGGGCAGTGATAGCAGTAATCGATTTGGCTAAGAGCTGGGCTAGTATCATCAAGAAGAACCAGAACCAAGCTTCGAACAATTTGAGGAACATCAGTCGAAGCTTTTGGAGACCCCCCTCGCCCTGGATGTGTAAAGCGCAATACCGACGGTGGTGTTAGCCCAACGACAATGAATGCAACCAGTGGAGGAGTGTTGCGCAATGAAAATGGGAACTGGATTCGAGGGTATACTAGGAACATTTTTCTATTATTTTTTACTTTTTATTTTTTATTTTCATTCTTCTTCTTTCTACTAAATTTTATTTATTTTTATTTATCTATATTCTTTATTTTTATTATTATTATTATTATACTAATATATTTTTCCTGTTTTCATATTTATTTTTATTTTGTCATCTAACATTTTTTTAGTAGTAATTCCAACCAATCAAAATAAGTAATTCGAATCAGATTTTTAAATTTAAATTTTTAATTTTTCGCAATTAAGACAACCGACAAATTAATTGGTACCGAAAGGGCAGTTCAAGGGTACTAATCCTTCATTGACTGTAATCGATTCCCGAATTCTACACATTTTTGGTGAAACACAAATCAGGTAAAATGGTGTCCGATCTATCTAAATATTTTTAAAGTAATCGGTGGCAACTCTAATCTAATTCATTCACGTCGAAGCTTAATTTCAAGTACAACCGAAAGAAGGTCGCGATAGTTAAATAACTAGGATTCGTGACGTCGGTCACAAATCCCATAGCATAATTAAATCGTTTGACCCATAGCATAATTAAATCCATACGCAAACATCCAAAAGTGATGTCCTAACAAACGAAATTAAATAACTTCAGGAGAATCGACACTAGCAATCGATAAGAACGTAAATATGGCATAAAACTCAATATCCTTGCAATTGAAAAGAGTAAGCTCATCGTCATTGAATTGCAAATAGCCTTGCAATTTTCCTCGATTGGAACCGCATAAGTGTGTTAACGTCGATAGCGCTCGATATTCTCTACGTGATCGGGTGCACCATTTTCATGCATGGGAGGTTCGTCTAAAATTGCCGCAAAGGATAGTGAAGATGGGTGTTTGCCGGAGTGTCGGCGCGAACGGGAAGCATGCATGGCCGATTGAGGTGGCAGTGCTTTGGTCGGAAAACCAGCTTCAAAGTTATCTGAAAAACCATAAATGGGATGATACATTAATAAAGGTATGGGTTCAAAATTTACCTCGTTATGTTCCTCAAGTGTTGCCAAGTGAGCGGCAAAGGGTGGTGCATCGTCGGGCATGGAATATGAGTATGAACCCGATGACATTGAGTAGAACGTAGGCGATCCGGTCAACGAGTAGTGATTCTACCACGGTCTAGATAGACCATAAGAACCGTGAGGGTAGACCACATATTCGATTGAGGATGATGAGTTATTTAACGTGACATGATTCGGTTCAACTGAGGGAGATGGAGGTGCGTGAAGCTGCTGCGCATGAAGACCACCGGAGTGAGTAGGGGAGGGAGCAGGTGTTGGTGGTTGTGATGAGGAATCAAAATTGCTTGGCAGTTGGACGAACGCCAACACCATATGACGACGACTACCACCCCTGAGCGTAATTGGTGGCTACGATGTAGCGTTCGTTTGGTTCCTCGTTCTCACCATTGTCACGCAAGAAAGATGAAGATGAAGAACGTGAGTGACGACACAAAAGAAGGTAAGGTTGTCGTCGGTGGAGAGTCAATCGGAGCAGGGGTGTGTAAAGATTATAAACAAGTGTCTAATCTATGTAAACAAGAAAGAAAACAAATGAGAGAAATGAATCTTCTGAAATTCATTATATCAAGCGTGAGTATTACAACTCTCAAGGGGAGTATTTATAGCTAGTACTATAGCTATAACTGATGTAACTAACTCCACAAAAAACTAACTACTTGATCTGTTGCAGTGAACCAAAACTCAGCTGCACAACCATCATGCACTGCACGTGAACATATATGCCATGCATTTACATACACTAACATTCCCCTTGCAATCTTCAACTTCAAATCTTCTTCAAGCTCAAGAAGCACAAACATGATCAATGCTCATTCAAACCCAAAATGAAATGAAAGTTCATTTACACTAACATTCCCCTTGCAATCTTCAACTTCAATCCTTCTTCAAGCTCAAACTGATCTTCTCTTAAGCTGCACCACCAGCAATCGTTGTCTGTGTTTGAGAAACAGAGGTGCTGATAAAGGCTTGGTCAACACATCAGCAACCTGCTCAATTGCAGGAACTTCATGCACTTGTAGTTGTCCCATAGCCACCATTTCTCGAACAAAAAACAGATCTAACTCAACGTGTTTGAACTTGGAATGCAGTACAGGATTAGCACAAACTGCAACTGAACTTGTACTATCACACCACAATGTGGCATTGCCATGTGAAACTACATGCAATTCCCCCAACAACGATCGAAGCCACACCATCTCAGCAGCTGCACAAGCCACACTTCTGTATTCAGCCTCAGCAGTTGAACGTGCAACAACCTGTTGCTTTCTAGAGCTCCACGAGACCAGGTTCCCACAAAATATATACAGAATCCTGAGGTTGACCGTCTATCATCAACATCAGAACCCCAATTCGCATCTGCAAAACCAGTCAAAGCCATTCTCGAGGAGGGTGTAAAACGCAGTCCAAAGTCAACAGTACCTTGTAGGTAACGAAGTATTCGCTTGACTGCCAAAAAATGAACATCCAGTGGGGCTTGCATGAATTGACACACCCTGTTCACAGCAAATGCCACATCAGGTCGAGTGATCACGATGTACTGCAGGGCACCTACAATGCTTCTGTATCGTGCAACATCTTCAAGTGGTGTTCCTTCCTTGGAAGACAGCTTGATGTTAGAGACCATAGGGGTGGGAAGACTCTTCACCTCACCAAAACCATGCTTCTGTAAAAGGTATTGGATATACTTTTGTTGACTCAAAACAACACCATCACCTTCATAACTGACTTCCACTCCTAGGAAAAAACTCAATGGTCCAAGATCCTTCAACGAAAACTGAGCATTCATCCTGTCTATAACACTTTGAACAACCACCTCTTTATCCCCTGTTATGATGATATCATCAACGTACACCAGTAAGTACACCAAGCTATCTGAGGCCTTTCGAACATAAAGAGAGGCATCCGACTTGGCTAGGCAAAAACCTTCAGATTCCAGGTATGCCTTCAGTCGCTCAAACCAGGCCCTCGGTGCTTGTTTCAGCCCATAAATCGCCTTGTGTAGCTTACATACCAGCTCACCATTGCCTTGCTCATACCCTGGTGGTTGAGTCATGTACACCTCTTCAGTGAGCAGCCCGTTCAAGAAGGCATTGTTGACATCAACTTGTCTCAGCTTCCACCCCCGTGACAACGCCAAGGAAATGATTACCCTGATCGTTGCAGGCTTAACCACCGGGCTGAAGACTTCATCAAAGTCAATTCCTGGTTTTTGAAGAAAACCTTTCGCCACCAAGCGTGCTTTGTACCTTGAAATCGATCCATCAGCATTTCGCTTTATTCTAAAAATCCATTTACAGTTTACTGCCTTCCTATCTCTAGGAAGATGAACTAGTGTCCATGTGCCATTCCTCACCAGTGCATCATACTCTGCTTGTGCAGCTTCTTTCCAAAGAGGACTCATCAATGCCTCTTTGATATTGGCTGGCTCTCGATCTGAAATTGCAACGTTATAAGCTTTTGGCTTCCAGATTCCATGCTTGCTCCTGGTCATCATGGGATGCACATTGGAGACTGGTTGTGGAACATCAGTCCCCACTCCAGGTTGAACTTCAACGCACGTTTCTACTGTACCCATCTCTTATTGGACTCCATGTGAGCTGGCATCACTGTCATTATTATTTAAAATGGCCGCACTACCATTATTATTCAAATTTTCTACTAGGACCGAAACTTGCTCCCTATGTGCACCACGCATATCACCATTGTTTAATTCTTCACGTGCACCATGCATACTTTCAACACTTGCATTATTTCCTCCTTGCTCCCCATGTGCACCACTCAGATCATTAATTAATTTAACAGGTGAGCCACCACCACTTGCCATACCATCACAACTTCCTCCTTGGATTCCACGTGAGCTTTCATTTTCACTACTCCCATTATTATTTGAATTTGGCGCAACACTATATTGGACCCCACGTGAATTTCCATTTCCACTACTCCCATGTGCAAGAGCATTGAATTCACGTGAATAATGGCTAGTCCCATTATTATTTGTCGCACCAGTATCCTCCACTTGGAACATGCCATGTCCACTTCTCCCATTATTTAATTCGTGGACCACACCATGTCTCCCATTATCTTCAATGCTTGCATTTGTTAAATTCTCAACAAAAGTGGGCTGCGCACCACGTTCAAGAGCACTTTGCACACCACTATGCGTATTGTTGTGAACCGTTGTTAATTCAAATGGTGTGGCCCCATGTTCATGCACAAAATCTCGCATACCTCCAAGCGGCGTGGTCCCATGGTCATAATTATTATCTCGCATAGCTCCAAACGGTGTGGTCCCAAGATTATCACCAGGTGCAAAAGACGAGGTGGCTCCATGTGCATCATTACAAATGACCCCAACCCCATGCGCATTATTATGGTTGCCAAGCGGTATGGCTCCACACTTATTATAAACTATAGGCAACTGTCCAGTGGTAACAATATCTTGTCTATGACACTTGCATTGATTCTTATCAAAAGGAAATACTTGCTCGTCAAACCTCACATGTCGAGACACAAAGACTCTTCCATCATTGTCTAGACATTTGTATCCGTGATGTGAGGTGCTGGGCCCAAGAAACACACACTGCCTTGACCGAAAATCCAATTTATGTTGATTAAACGGCCTCAAGAAGGGAAAACAAGCACACCCAAACACTCTCATTCCCGAGTAGTCAGGAGCTTTCTGATAAAGAACCTCAAACGAGGTCTTGCCTAAAATGATCTCAGATGGGAGCCTGTTTATGATGTACACTGCCATAGTAAAAGCATGACTCCATAACTTTATCGGCAGTGATGCTTGAGCTAACATGGCTAGTCCCATTTCAACAATGTGGCGATGTTTTCGTTCAGCCTTCCCATTCTGTTCTGACGTGCTGGGACAGGAGATCCGATGTTGTACACCATTGATAAAAAACCAACTCTTCAGTGCCTGATATTCACCTCCACCATCACTCTACAATGCTTTGATTTTC